AAACGTCAGCTTTCCTGCTCCTCTGACGCTGCTTGGCCTGCTGTGTTCATCCAGCTCTGCACCTTGTTATCTCAGATTCTCCAGCATCTGCAGTTCCTACTATCTCTTTCAGACTACATCACGTCAGCTTGGATGGCAGCCATCTGGGTTGGCTCTTTGCCCTACCTAAAAGCTATTTGAGCTTTATGTTTCACTAAATGCAGATCCCATCTTTAACCTAGCCTCTATGCACTGTCAGTATTTGAGCTGATAGCTACACGAGTGTGCATGAGTAATGTTGTTCTTTCTTCAGCACTGTTTGCTTGGTCTTCCACCTCTTCGTCCGTAACCACTGCTTGATCAGGTTACAGTTTTTGGGTGCCTGAAAGGAGGAAACCAAAAGCTTGGATTATGTTGTTGTTGTTGTTGGTCATAGTGGTGCTGAGGAAGATAGAATATCATGGGTGAACGCTCAGTCTAAACGCTGGCCACAGCCTCCATGATGGTTGTTTCAATGATTGGTAACGATCATCTCCTCCATGCACCTGTGTCTGCCCTGTGCTGGTTAGGTACCATGTGAGGTAAGTGGTACAGGTTATTGGATTTAGTATTTGAACATGCATTTGTGCAACTTAACCATTCATTAACTGAACTTCACATAGCACTACACCAAGACACTGGGAACTAGAATTCTGACATTGACTGAAACAGCCACCTGCTCCGATTGCCTTCATGTCTGGACAGCCTCCTGTGGTTGAATGGCATCATTCCTCCTCAGCAGTCCCTTCACTAAGACTTCCAGTGTGGCACCAGCAAATGTGGATGACCATCCTTACCTTGATTCCGTGTTTTTTTTAAAACACACAGTCTGTTCTGCAACAGGTTCCGACTCCAGCCAGAAATAACCTCCTCTTTAGGTGGCGGAGGCTGTCTTAAGTTCTAGCCTTTCATTGTTTGATCAGATGGGCAGCCACTCAACAATACGCTTTGTTCTGGCTGCATGCTCTAATAATGAATGTTTGCATACTGCCTTCATCAGTAACATGTAAGTTAATTGCATATTGTGATTTGCTTGCCCCTTTTCTGAACTTGTCAAATTTTGTAACCAAAGTTTTAGGCAAATTGACACATTTTAATCTGGCTTTTGGCTTAACTCTTGTCATAACTCTTGTCATAATAATAAAATGATTTTGAGAAAATTAAATTCTGTTGTGTTGACTAGATGTTTTGCATTGGCTGTAGTTTGGAGTTTTCTGAATCACTGTACAGTATGTGAAATGAAACATTTAATGCTGAAATCAGAGGACACTTCTTGCAAATATATCATGTTAAATTCAATCTACTTTTGCATTCCATTTTCATAGACAGGTTCCACAATGATTATTAAGAATTCCTGTTCAATTTGTGTATTTTTGACCAGTTTCAACTTCAGTTGCATGTAAAAGCTCATTCTTTCTAATTCAATTCTACCTTATGATATCTGGACTCAATGTGAAGAGCGGTCTGTATTATGCCAGGTTAGGGCAATGGGTAATGGAAAGTGTATACATAACAGAATCAACTCCAATAGGGAGCTGCCCTGCCACATTCAGCCAAAATCCAAATATCACACCTCAAAATAAACTTTCTGCTTTAAGAAACTAAGGTTTCTATCCAAAATATGACACTTGAGAAACAGTTCTAAAACGGGGAGATAATGTTTTCAAACTGCTCTACAGCACATGTTTAGCTTGTTTACCTGAAGCTATTAAAAGACACAAAGAAATCATGATAATGTGCACGTTGCGAGTGGCTGAAAGATCATAGTTACCCAGTTCCTTCAGTAAGAATCTTGGGGACAAACACCAAAAGTGCTGTGAAGCTCAGAATGAATGAGACAACAAAAAATGCCACTGCCCATTCTTTTACTACACAAACAATGCATTTGCCTTTTTGCCTCCTCTGTGCAGGAGGCCAGGCTTTAAATTATGCAGATTCATTATGCCAACTGTCCAGCATCAGGCCAAGTGATCACAGTCTATTACAAGAAAATTGAACATAAACCAGGCAAGGAACTTTATGCACCAATGATCACTAATACATCTTTTATTGAAAATATTGACATCTTATCAGGATCCCCAAAGGCATTTACTGCTTAATGATTTTCATTTGTTTTATTCAACCTAATTTTAACACTGATGCTATTTTAAAATGGTCATAACTGATGTTACAAAAAGTTATTGCTTGATAATTTGGTCACCAAGAACAATTTAAAACCAATTTAGTTTGACCAACTTATGACAACGTAAAAGACTGTATTTTGTTTTTCTGTATTTTTGACTGTGGATTGAAGTAGGAAAAAAACTTTTAAAAACAAAAGATTGAAGAATTGCTGCACTTTTTAAAAACAAGTAATCTGACATCATTATAAGCATTGTTTACACAGTTGCTTGTTCAAGCTGTAGTGGAAACCTAGTTTGGAGATTAGCTGAAACCAAGGGATGAGTATGAATAGAGCAATAAATAAAGTTTTGGCTGGCAGTAAGCAGCTGACTCGTCTTGGACTCGTGACCAGTTATCAATGACAAAGGCCTTCTGCCTATCAACAACTATGTGATTGGCTCACATCTAGCCGAACAGCTTGGGGAAATGTATGTTTTGGCAGAAACCGTAAGACCTCTACAGCACAAAAAGTTGTTTTTGCTCTGCATTAAAAAGCATTTCAAGCCTCAAGTTATCCTGTTTATTTCCACTTTCTGGTCACTGTAAGATGTGATTTCTAATCCATAAGTCAAAGACCTTTCTGAGTGGGAACCAGTCATCCTGTGTCTCCTGCAAACTGATGGAAGTATCTGGGGAAGGAGCGTTGAGAGGCAGCTTTCTGATCTGCACAAGAATTATCTTAGCAAACCCCCTGGACAGGGACCACTGAACTGCTCGTCCTAATCTTTCCCTCTGTCCGTAACATTCTTTTTCCTGCGTGTGTCTGCCTGTATGTATTTATAGAAATGAGTTTACAATGGGGCTTAGAGTTTTAATTCATAGTTTTATGTCAATGGTTCATACTTGTTTATCTGTGGCTGGAATCTATTTATTTGTCATAAATGGTCATTCTTGTTCAGCGCAGAAATCTACTTGCTGGCAACCTGGGTCTAAAAGACAGGTAAATTGCAGAATTCTACAAACTTACTAAAATCTTTAATTTTTGTGATAACTCCAGGAATAGTTTGATTTTCATTGCACTACCCCAGTGAGGTGTAACAACTTAGTGATCTGAAGTTAAATCTCACTCTCAGTGAACATTTTCTTTATGTTGCCTCAACATGTGCTGCAAAAACAAAATTTGGCCCAAGACTCAGAAATAAGATTTGGCAATATCTGAGGCAAGCTCAAGAAAGTTGTCATGAAGTGCTTTAACAATCAGAACAGAAGAACTATTACATATAATCATAGAATGATATTTCCTTAGCCTACCTCATGCATACTGTCAAGGACTTTAGTCAACTGATAAAACCGTTGCCAGTTTTGTCCAGAATTATTTTCATTTCTTGCTATAACTCTCCTCAACTCCTTGATATAGTTTGTCCTCATTTCATCAAATGAAGCTTGACTTTTCAGGCCATCTTTTGGAACTGTGTAATGCAAATACAAAACATTGTGTCAATTAGATGCATAATTTTTCAAAAACTTAAAATTCACTCAAATCCTAACAAACTTCATTATATTGCTGCCCTTAGACCAACAAAAAAAGGCTATACACTGAATTTTAATGCTTTAAGGTTTGCACTGATGAAGCTCAAGTGCTTTCTCAGCCATTGATTGATGGGAAATCTTCCAGACCATCATATTTATTTAAACAGTGTAGTTCCGTTGCATAACCAAAGGTTCTGCGACCCCTTTTCATCCTGATTCATTTAGTAACAATAGGAAAATCAAACTGTTCATTCTTACAGGGATAGATCAGTGTAACAACATTAGACAAATCTTCCAAGAATTTTCTAATGCTTTCACAGATTTTTCAAAGCAATTTCCAAATCTTGCCTCTAATTTAAAGAATACAAAAGTGCCAACAATGGGAAACTTTCCAGAATTCTTGATTTATTATCTCATACAGTCAGCATTCATGGATATGCTCCAAAAGCTCTGAACTGGAAGAAATACAGATGTGACACATCCATCTATTTGGAAAGGAGTGACTGACAGCTTTGTGAATTGAAGGAACCCTAATCTTATCACAGCTGTCATTTGTTTAACATGCCTAATGTATTAGGAATCAACCCCATCAGGATAATATGGGATCCACTCCCATTCCATCAGCAGAAACTAGGAATTTGCCTCGGTCCAATTAGTACAAGCTAGGATGCGTCACCTCTCAGCAGGACAAGTTGGAAGAACTCATTGTGCCACCATGGCTTACTGGAACATAGAGATATAATAAGAGGCTGTCCACGCAGTCCACTAAGGCCTGTCAACCACACTAATCTGAAATGTAAGATCTTGGTTGGCAGCATTACTCTAAAAGGTTTCATTGCATGAAGACCGCTCTGAAATTAATGTTATGAGTAAGAACTTTAAATGGGGGAATAACGCTTAAATATCAGCCTTACACTTGCCTCTACTGGGGGTGACTCTAAAGCCAGTTGTTTGATTGTGCATTGGACAGATGTTCCTTTTACTTTTAGGTTGATTCCAGCTCATTTTACCTTTTACTGTCGTTTTTCTTTTGTTCCTCTCCTCATGATTGAGGATTGGTACACAAATGCTGGAACATTCCAGTATCTCATGTTTTTAGCCATTCTTAAAGACAGTAGCCACTGATACACTATTCCACCACAGAGATCATCACAGTTGATTGCAATCCTGTTCTCCTCCATATCCCTGTCAAGGTTCAGTTGGTAGTGGTCAAGAGCATGACCATTCCTCTTCTCTGTAATCCAGAGGTAGTAAGGTAAACATTGTGCCCTAGCTGTCTAGCTGTGATCAGCTGGTACAGGGTACACAGGGTATCAAAATGAGGTCATTTGGACTGCATGCCTTAGTGCATTCATTTTTGGTTAAGAACCACAATTCCAAGCAGTGGCTTACTTGAAGCATGTTTCTTGAGAAGTAACATTATGATCAGGCTTAGAAATAATCTTGGAAGTAAGAATGTGAATGCCACAGCCAAACAATGTCCTCTACAGGCTTTAGTCCTATTACTTTTGGCCAGTAGCGATGAATACACGGTCTTTCTTTGTAAATGGTCATAAATTAAGCTTTTAAGGAGGAAAAGCATTAATGAATCTGGCCTAACATTTGGTAAACAAAATAACTAAGTGTGTAGTGCAGAGCTCTCCATTGTTGTAAGTATATCATCTAGGAAATAATCAGCAAATCAAGAAGGGCAATACTGACATACAAGTTTGCTGAACAGATGAAGCTAGCTGAATATTTTTCTTCTGAAGGTGAAGTTGTCGAAGGCCTCTGATTCATTACAGTGATTTTCTGTCATAATCTTTATAATGATACATGTGGAGCATGAGCATTGCCACAGACTTGTTTGGAATAGCCTGTTTCAGTGCTAATAGTACTTCGCATTATGAGGGACAAGTCAGAAGAAATTCCCTCATTATATTCAATGTTCTGAGATAATGAGAAAGTTAGGTGTTGTCAGTTCATCGCGAGGTGACTTCAGAAAATTGTAACTCAGTCTGATCCCTGCAGAAAATATAAATTTGTAAGGTGGTTGGTGGGGGGAGGGGGAAGGTGAGACGGAGAAAAGTTAACAGGAATAGCATTATTGTTAAACAAACACAAAAGTGCTGGAGAAACACAGCAGGTCTAGCAGCTTCTGTGGAGAGAAACAGACTTAGCGTTTTGAGTCCATAACAGTCTTTGACTCTTAGAGTCATATCCATCTCAAAACATTAACTCTTTTCTCCCGCTATAGATGCTGCCAGACCTTCTCAGTTTCTCCACCATTTTCTGTGTTTGTTTCAGATTTTCAACATTACTTTTACAATAATATTATAAAATCATCAAAGACCCATCACACATCTCCTACAACCTCTTCAGTCAGACAGAAGATACAGAAGCCTGAACACTTGCACCAGCAGGTTCAGGAACAGCTTCTTCCTGGCCATTATTAGACTGATGAATGGACTCTCCAGCCTCAAATAATGCTGATCTTGCCAACATTGATCTCGATTATTGAATGCCCTGTGCAATGTAATCTGTATGCTTCTGTCTAGGTCTTTTACAACCTCTGATCTGCGCATCCTTGCTTTATTATGATCTGCCTGTGGCAAGTGACATTCGCGCCACACAAATGCCAGGCTATGACCATTACCAATAAGAGACAATCTAACCACCGCCCCTTGACATTCAATGGTGTTACCATCACTGAATCCCCAATTATCAACATTCTGGGGGTTACCATTGACCAGAAACTCAACTGGGCTCACCACGTAAACAGAGTGGCTACAAGAGCAGGCCAGAAGCTGGGAATACTGCGGCGAGTAACTCACCTCTTGACTCCTCAAAGCCTGTCCACCATCTACAAGGCACGAGTCAGGAGTGTGATCGAACACTCCCCACTTGTCTGGATGAGTGCAGCCCCAATAACACTCAAGAAGCTTGACACCATCCAGGGAAAGCAGCCCGCTTGATTGGCACTACATCCACAAACATTCAGTCCCTCCACCACTGATGCCCAGTAGTAGTGTATACTATCTACAAGATGCACTGCAGAAATTCACCAAAGATCCTCGGACGGCACCTTCCAAACCCACGACCACATCCATCTAGAAGGACAAGGGCAGCAGATATATGGGAACTTCACTACCTCCAATTTCTCCTCCAAATCACTCACCATCCTGACTTGGAAATATATCGCCATTCCTTCACTGTCGTTGGGTCAAAATCCAGGAATTCCCTCCCTAATAGTATTGTGGGTCAACCCACAGCAGGAGGACTGCAGCGGTTCAAGAAGGCAGGTCACCACCACCTTCTCAAGGGCAACTAGGGATGGGCAAGAAATGCTCGTAAACAAAGCTTTTCACTGTACTTTGGTACATGTGACAATCAATCAATCAATCAACTTGGTAAACTATTAGTAGGGTTTAATTTGACTTTTCTGTCCAATTATCAGAAATTTTATATTGGGTTTGAGGAGTTTAGGAAATGAAAAATCTGTTGCTGTAAGGGTGATTTACTTTCCTACTCATGTTTTGTAGATATGATATAATCTAGCATTCATTATTAGGCTATAGACAGAATATCAGCTTTGCGACATGCACATTTACCTCATTGCCAAATGTAGGCAGCTGTAATTTCTTTTCTTTGGATCTAAGTGCAATGCAAATTGTCCACAGACTTGAAACTAATGGAATCGAGGATACTTTGCAATAATATTGATATTGATTTGATTTCTTAGTATGTAGTTGTGAACTCAGTATCAGTAGTTTTTTTTAGATTTTTTTGTCTCGAAATTGTTTGAGTTGAAACACAGTGCACTCAATTTTAGTTTCCTGCCAGACAGGAGGTTCTGAAGCCCATTTTATAGGGATAAGGAAAGCAAACGAAGTATGGGACAACAGGATGACCTGCTGCTGCCCAGCGTTAACAGTTAAAATCTACTCCTTGTTCTCAATTGGGATTTTCCATGATTCTGTGTTCCCAGCAGAGAATCCTGCTTGCAGACTTGGCCAGAGAATTCGGAACCTATCTCCAACCTGCTCTCCCCTAAAGTATGACTAATCTTTGGGAAATGTGGAACTTTCTTAATGATGTGTTTACAACAGTAAGAGCAAAAAGATACACTATAAGGGGAATTATCCAACTTTTCCTCAAACTCTCGGTGTGAACACAGGGTTGGGGGTGATGGGGGAAGAACAGTTAGTTGGGAACCAATCAGACTCATCTCTCACAACGGCCTTATATCCCCAGTCTTGTCTAATAGAAAATGCATTTTCCTTACATTATTTTGAGAATGGTGTCCCAAAACAAGCGCGAGGCTTAGTTGATGAAATAAGATAGATAAGAAAGTAAGTTGTGAAGAGGACTTAGTAAAGCACCCAGCCAAACATGTGAAACCTCAATCTTTCCTAATCCAATTTTTCAGTTGCTGTTGTTGTGTCTTGTGCTTCATTTGGGGGTGTTGTGGCTTACATGAATATACATAAAAACATCTGAATTATGATCATGAGAAGGCTTTTTGCCTTCTAAAACCATCATTCGATAAGATCTGATCATGACCTCAACTCCACATTCCCACTTTGTCCAGTAACATTTGAATTCCTTGTTAGTCAAGGTGGACATTTTCCTACTTTATACTCCATCTGTAAAAATTTTGTTAACTACACAGCCTTAACTGTTTAAATACTTAACCTATTTACATCCCTTTGCAGACTGCTCATATCCTCTTCACAACTTATTTTCTTATCTATCTTATTTCATCAACTAATTTAATAACTATATACGCAGTTCCTTCAGCTAGGTTATTGATATTTTCCTATTTATATTCCAAGAGTTAAAATTTTGTCAACTCACAACCTATTTAAATTTCTTTGCAGACTCCTCATGTCCTCTTCATGACTTATTTTCTTATCGACCTTATTTCATCAACTAATTCAGTAACCATACGCTTAGTTTG